CACTTGTCACAATCCCAGTCTTACTAACCAGGTGGTAGAACGTAGATCCACGCGAGACGCAATGTATTTTCTATTGTGTCTCATATACCGGGTGCCGCCCAAGAGGTTAATAATCTAGTCGTAAAAACATAGAAATTAAAAACTCTAAAATCGGATAATACGGTACTTGACTGCAAAATCCAGTCAGAAACCTCAAATTGTTAAGCTTACATCGCCAAACTGTATAGTTTAAATAGTTTCAGAATTGCAATACCAGAAAAGCATGACTGTGGAAACTGCTAACAACATTCTACATACTGTATAATGAAACTCGTTGCTTTTTATATTACAAGCATATAGAGCGTGTCCAATGTTTTTTCCGAACCGAATAATAATATTTTAAAGTCATCGGTACCACGAATTCCACTGCTTTTTATCTATAGGTAAGTATTGCAACTAGACTGTGAGCAAAATGTACTAATAATTTTTAACCTGTTTCGATGGCCGGGTAATCGCAAGTAAGAATGCAAGGGGTTTCGGGTTCGATTCCCGGGTCGGGTAAAGTATTCTGGGATAAAATTCTCAATAGTAGCACCGAGTCTGGAATTGTGTCCGGTATATGGCAATAGACTCACCCCCTATAACATGGGACTTACAAAATTAATAATGAAAAGTGGGTGTAACATTGTACAGTGGCATTAAGTGCCGTAATGTGCACTTCTGCCTACCCCTTCCGGGATAAAAAGACGTGATGTTATGTAGTTTTCGACCAACGTTTAATTTGTTCCAGTGTGAAGTTTCAATAAATGTGTGTTTTATCACGTTTTGTTACTGCAAAGTGTTTGCAGTCACGATTTATATGAGTTTTTCAAACTGAAATAATTGTTTTTGCATACGTAACATAACAACGCTTTTTACTCCTTAAAAAAGTAAGCAGCGTTATATACACCGTGTACCTACATAGATAGATATATATAATATAGATACAACCTATATTGCACACCAAGTTATTTTAACATAGACAGAATTTACAGAGTATATCGGTACGCCCTGTTCGCAAGTTAGGTTACGTACGAACCCCATGTAGAAAGAGGGCTAATGTTTCAAATTCTTGCTATTAGTCAACATATACTTTTTCATTTTATTTATAATTTTCCTCAAAACTGACAACACTTTCATATTTATTGTCATGGCGATAGATATATAACGTTTTGTTTACATTTTTCGATAAAATATTACCAAACAGTGATGGATTTTTTATCGCAACTGCTCATCACTCGCTGTTAATTGAATATTGAAAGGATTCCATAATTTACATTACGTTTCGATAATAGTAGTGTTAAATGATCATTTTGTTCATGCACAATAATGACTGACCAGGTTTAAGTAAACAATTCCGATAAATAACATTATTTTTACACTATTGTACTCAACTACATAATTATTTTTTGTGAATTTAAAAGATTTTGGCCAATTAAACACCCACTTGGAACTTAGTTCTAACATAAATAGAAAATAACAACCAGATTCTTTCAAATTCACCTACAGGAACGCCTACAAGATACGCCTTTGTATTTTCCTAGATATAAAAATAACAAATTACACATTTCCTGCTTTTTCACACGGAAATCGAGGTGTTCAGTAGGTACACCCACTTTTGATCCGATACGTTATTAGCTCCATTCGAAGAGGGGTTGAATTTATTGCCTTAGCCCCAGATTCCACACTACTCCCGAGATAATCGAAGGCTAAAAATGCATGTTTAGCTGTCGCACAATTGACGAGGTAAGCGATGAATAATACTTAGTCACACCCAGCGATTGATCGTGTAATCTCATGATTGAAAAAGACTAATATTTTTCAAAAGAAATTCATCAAATTCAAACTTTCCAATTAAAAGAAAATCTCAACTGACATCTGTGAAAACACAAGCAATATGGCGGCGTTCCCTATTTAAAATTCAGTACAGCAATGTTATCTCGATTGAAAGCCAAGTTGGCAGAGAAATCATTAACACGGTTGTCGAGAACACACATTTAATGAAATATAAGCCTTATGTACCACACTTTTAACATCAGAGTCCTTGACCTTGACTGAAAACTGAATCAAGAAAGTGGGTAAGTGTTGTAAAAGAATGTAGTGAAATGAATGTCATTGGATCACGATCATTACGACAGAAATAAAAACTGTTAAGGTAATTAAAGTGATAAGTTTAATTGGAATTTGATCAGCTAATTGGTTGCAGTAATACTTGGTTGCGTATACATAGCCTAAATGAATTTGTACTGAAGCTAAAGACATTTCTTAAGGTGGAGATTTTTGAAAATTTAGTTTGTAAGAGAAAGACGGTATTTGTTGTCTTGAGTTTTTTCCGTAGTTTAGATTTAGAAGACGCACGAAATCATGTAACACACTCGAGACAATCCATTAAAGAACCAAGCCCTGAGTTCAAAGTCCTATCCCGGTTGTCAGACTGTTGCTTATTTGTGGATAACTGATGTCCTACAGTTACTTTATTTACTACACTAGAATAAGATGCCTGCCTGCCATTTGACTGCCTCGTTAGCCGAGTAGTGACTGCCTGGTTGGCCGAGTAGTCACAAGTGCGACTGCCGGGCAAGGGGTCTCGGGTTCGATTCCCGGGTCGGGCAAAGTATTACTGGGTTTTTAAAAAAATCTCAGTAGTAGCACGGAGTCTGGAAATGTGCCCGGTATACATATATGGCAATAGGCTCACTCCCTATTACATGGGACTCATAGATAGTGAAAAATGGGTGTTACTTCTGTGTGCACCTCTGCCTACCCCTTCGGGGATAAAAGGCGTGATGTTATGTTATGTTAGAACAAAATCTAATTTGACTGCTTGAACCCCATGCCCACCTTGACTTGCTAGTAAAACATTGTCTCATAAAATATCCACCTATGTATTAGGCTTTGAAAATGTTCCCTAAAATAAATATCCTAATATCTACAATTTATTTTATAATAGGTACGTACAAAATGTATTCATCTGATAATATTTTATCTAAATGGCACCCAACTAAGGATAGCTTTGAGCCTATAATGGATGGGATATAATTCACTAGAATTAGGGCATTTTCAGTTTTAATCAAGAACGTAAATCGTATTTTAAAGGATTATTAGCATACTAATGCTTGTTTTAGTGTCTCATGTAATACATAGGTCTTATTTATAGGCACTACTGCCTTGCCAACATTTTAAAAGTGTAATTAATTTTCAGCATTTAGACATTTTCAAGTCATTATCCAATCCTAGGGCTTGCAACTCCTAGTTATAATGTTTTTTTTTAATTCAATACATCACAAAGTTTAGCAGTTTCCATTTTACATATAATAGAACTAATACTCATTAGTATGGAAACGAGGTTGTCATTACAAGGGACAGTATTGAGACCAATGATTTTCAGCAATCGACATCTTGTGGCTTATGATGAATTACGATGATGAATAATTATGAGCTCAGTCATTCAATTAAACATAGGAACATTGTAGAATCTTCATCCTACAAAACGCAAAATTAATATAAAGTTAGAACTTGGTAGTAATATCAATCAATTCCCACAACACCATTTAAAGTCGAATCACAACAAGTTGACAACAAAGGATGAACAAGATTTTCCTATCAAGATAAATAAGCCGGAACAATCAGGGTCGCAGATTCAACTCGGCATTGATAAGGGGCGTAGAGGAGAATTAAACTTATATCTCACTACATTGTGTATTATTATTAAAATATCTAGTAGGCACATTCAGAGATGTAATTTATTTTTAATTCAGTGTAAAAATACCGATTGGTAACTTTTACACTCAGTTCACTGTGGTAAAACATCTTATATAGGTATTTCATCTTTTTACTCGACTGAAGGAAGGGTATTGTTTTTAAGTATTTTTAACGCATACAATTTTATAGTTGAAAATTAAAAAACGCATTCAGATGACATTTTCTTTTCAAAATTGTCGTCATTTGTATTTCATGCACTGAAAAGATGTGCATCTTATTACGATTTGGTTTCAGAATAACCAAATAAGCAGTAGTGAAACAAAGAAAAAGTTTTGCGTTCGTAATCCTACGTACTCGAAAATATTTCCTCAATTCATAATTCGCGGAAAAGACTGAATCTGATAAGGTATAAGCAAAAATTAAGAACCTAATTTCCAGCAATCGCTTTTTAGTCCACCATTCTAGAACGATTTACAATTAATATTTCTAAATAAATAAAACCTATTACACATTCATATCCTCTACTAAACCACAGTCACAAAGTCTCTCCAAATAATAGAAAAACCTCTAAACCTTGTTACATTTAATTTACAGAATTCGAAACAATTTGTGTTCCTAGTTATGGCCGTGTTTTACATCTCAATAATAGATACAAATTGTAAAATAAACATTACAATAAATCTTCCGCACCATATGATTCTTTTGTAACGAAGTTAACACGTACACCTAAATATGATTACAATGCAAAATGGATTTTTGTATGTATAATTAATTTTTATCCAACTCAGGAACAATCGTTTTATTGTAATGTGAAGACAACGTTAAAAAAGCGTCAAATTTTCACACTTCTTAGAACTGTCTATTCTTCATGCGGATTTGTCTAGGAACGTAAACTTGCTAATTATTTAGTACCTACCAGTTTTAACAAGTCGTTGAAGACACGATAATATTTTGTAAGACTAGTATTTTGATTCGATTATTTCGATTGTATCTTATTGATGTCAATTTTGGTCTAACACAATGCTACTACGAAAATATTTTGTCAATTTTCATAACTTTGTCTTTCTTAATTACGCAATCTTGGCTTTTCATTAAAATTCCAAACAAATTCCAAATAAGCGGAAAAAGGTAGTACCTCCTTGTAGATATATTTTTATACTTGATTTACTGGGATAAACAGTCGGTCGAGATTCCTAGGGGGAGCCGGATTTACGAACTTTTATTAAGGTGCGTTATCTAAAGCCTTATCAGAGTAATTTTAGTTCATTGAAACAACTTGCCTAGTGTCCATTGCGAAGAGCGACGAGGCCACGACTTGGAGCAGGATGGTGGCTGTTGATAACGCCAGTTTCTTTGTTCTATTCTCTAAGGCCTCCTTGGCTCACTGTGCTAACACACACGATACACAACGAGTGCACAGCTCGACACCGCTTTACAGCATGTTTGCAGAACGATTAGCACGCTTGTCCCCGCTCCCAAAGTTGACATTGCGCACTTACTGATTTTTTAACCTTCACATAGAAATTACTTCTGTAAACTTTGACTGATATTTTGATATTAAATTTAATATCTTCACTAACACGTCTGCGCTCACGAAACACTAAAACGTATTTATTTTCACTTAAATGTTATTTTATTTTTTTCACAACACTTCTATCACGTAAATTATCTAAAAAGTAAACATTAATCACTACTTTAATTACATATATCACAATATTTTTAAACCTCAAAACTTATTCGTAGTTATGAATTTCGTATTAATTTGGAAGTTGAAAACTTTATTTGAACTACAATTAAGAATTGAAATATACAAGTATTAATTTATTTGAATATATCTAGTAAAAATTGTGAACAGATTGCTTGAGTACATTTATTTACAAGTTTTTCGTTGGATCGGTCGCGGCTGAAAATTGCGCGAGGGAAAGTTTCACGAGTCGCGGCGGAAGCGGCGCGCCGCGTCGCGTAGTCGAAGGCGAATGGGCTACGATTGTAGGCGGCTGGCAGCGCATTCTACGCTACGTAGTCTGCGTACCTACCCCTGACTAACGCTGCTCATGAAAATGTTTTGTCAACTTGCCGTGTGGACATATTCATTAGCTCGAGTACACGTAGATAGCACCAACAATGATTATAATACTTAATTGTGTACCTTACTATTAATAGAGGCGAAAAAAACCTCTAAACAGGTTTTAGACAGAACCAATCTGCATTTATCTAGTTACTTAGGTAGGTACTTTCTTTAATTATGTAAAAAATGTTTACAGTGTACATACTCAAGTATGTTTTGTTTTTTATTTTGTTGATCCAATTTTTTTTGATTTCGGTACATTCGTTTCTGTTTTCGTTTCTACTAAATAAATTCCTACGGGGTCAGGCTGCTGTCTATACATAGATTACATTGCATTGTTAGATTGATTTATCTGCGGCTACCTACAAACTTTTTGAATTAAATTTTCCCAGAGGAAACCCATTGTGAAATTTAGTTTGATGTATACGGAAACTTTGGAAGTTATTTGGCAGAGGTCTTACCTATAAACATAGGTTTAACCTAAAAAGTATAGACTTATTGTGTGATTTTATTTCGGTCTGAGAATATTGGCAAGAGAGCCAAAATTTTATACCAATATTGCTAAACTGGAAACATTAAATGAGTCTTAATTTTTCTATATACACTTTTTAAGGGGGGACAATCATCAAATGGCTTCTCCTGCTAGGGTGAGGCGCTGACTAAAAACCACCCTGTTCTTATTCCTACTCTTCGAGCCTGAGTCCCGGCAACCCGTTAAGTCCTTCGCGCGGTATCGGCATCAGCCCTATTGGGCCCCATCCATGGTGGTCTGATTGCTCTTTAGCGGCGCGCGGAACGCGACGCGCCGTACGCTCGGGTTTCTCTATACACACGACCACTACCTATTTTTATGAGATAGAGGGCAATAGAACAAATATCTGATGATAAGTGATCAGCACCATGTTGTACCAGCAATACCAGGGGAGTTGTAAGTGCGTTAACGGCCTTATGATGCTAATATAATTAAACTCCGACATTGCGTTCTTTAGAGTATTTAGAAAGAGTATTCGAGCTAACCGTTCTAAAAATATGTTAATTCTCTACTATGTAACTAAAACCTTCAAAGTAAAAATATTCTTTCAGAGATTAAATATTTTCGCGCACACGTGTAACTAAAAAATATTTTCGTCTGAGACTTTTCACAGAATCTTCGTAATGCTATTAACTGTCCTAATATTAGTTATCGGAGAGATTTTCCTTTTCTTAATAAGTACGTTTTTTAAATTGAATAAAACTTTTCTAATAGTATACCTTTTTTTTGAGAGGGAAAATCGTTCAATGACTACTCCCGCCCGGGTGAGGCAAGAGGGAGTGTCTCTTACTGACTAAAACCACCCCGATCCTACTCCTGCACTACACCGGAGCCCCTTATCTTGCATGACTACTTCGCAGAAGGACGATACGGCATCTCAGCGTCGCTCGTTCCGTACCATAGTCTGAAACAGAGCATCAGATCCCTGAGAACACGGCTATGCTCAGCCCACGCAGGGTGTTATAGTATAGTACCTATATAACCAAAGGTTCGATTGGGCAAATTCAGAATTTACCTTTTCGAGAAGAAAAGGAAATAAAAATGATTAACCCAGACTTCTTTCAGATCTTTTTTCAAATTATTACGTTAATATACACCTAGATGACCACGCGTTAAAGATAAAGACACAGTTCATCGATTTTTCTATTTAAAGTTTAACAATGCTATAAATCTCACTAGAAACTCTCACTAGTTATATGCACTTGTAGTAGATATATGGCTGGTGTTTGGTATTAGATCTGCTCACGATTAAATAGAAAGAGATGATTAATTATTATGTGTTTCGGCTAACTCACATGTCTCACATATCTGTTTGAAAACATTCAACTCGTTTCAAGTCACTCCAGGAGCTCATATTCATGAACAGTATTACACGTCACGACGCAGAGAGTGGTGAGCGTTGAGTGAGGCGAAAAACATAATAATTAATTTATATTATTATTATTTATATCTCACGAAAGTTATAATACAATGAAAGATCTGATTCGTTAAAAATGAACTAGTAATCTTTACGCATTGTTTTATACAATACATCTTAGGTATTTTATTTGTTATACATAATATACAAAATTTTTACCGGTGTCTGTTTTCAAACACGAGACCTTTTCACTGGGGAAGTCTAGAAATAGAATTTGAAAATACTAAACTTAACTAATGATGAAAGTCACAATGTCCCAGTCACTTTATTTAAAACATTGACGTTCAGCTGAATTTCATTTCTCCAGTCCCAACACCAAGTCCAATTCAACTAGGTTAACCATTAGTTCTTTGCGGTGTTTTTCTTTTTCATTTCAATTATTTATTTACTTGCACCGTTTTTTGAAAAGCATCACGTAGCACTTTTATGTGAAAACCCTTTCTTGAATTTAAGCAGCTTTAAATCACTTTAGTGCTGGAACCAATTTTACCAAACTTTCACACTATCTAGATTTATGCTTGAAAAATTTACAACTCTTAGAATTAAGTCTGCGGTTTCTTATGATAGTCCGGTTAGTCCCGTGCCTTCTTATAAGACTATCCATAGGATAGTCATTCTGCAAAATATTATTGCTAAATCCCGATAGTTACCCATTCACGTTAGGGTAGACTTGACCAAGGAGACTTTACGTTCGGTATCGTTCGTTCGGTACGTTCGGTATCGTAACTTCAGGATTGTATGGAGCTCGGAATCCAATATCGAATTTTCTATGACACAATTAGAATTCATGTTTACATGGTTTTATCAATGTTGATAGAGAGATCTCAAAAACTAGAAGTCAGTGTAATCTCTTAAACCTTGGTAATGACAGGATTAATTGTAATTTACGTTTCTTTCGACATCTTGTTTCCACGAGTTTTTGTCTCGTTACACAAAAAGTTAGTGTTACAAGTTTAAACCACGTTTCTTGTAGTTACTTTAACTGGGTAGTTCAGGTTAATGGATCCTTTTCCTTATTTCTTTAGTTACCGCAAACTATTTAGTTCTACACTGGCTTAAGCTCGAATGTTCGCAACTATAGTTACTTAACTTTTTAACTTAATTTAGATTGGCGATTACGATGTACTTTATAGATTTAGTGTTGTAGCTAGAGTTTTATTTTTCTTTGAACTTTTATATTGACTAGAACGAGAAAATATTTATTGAAAAAAAATTAGATATGTGATAGACGTGATGACGTGAAAGAGTAACAAACGCACACACACAAACACATGCACACATACATCCTCAAAATCTTTCGCATTTATAATATTAGTAGGATTGTCTCTGATGTGAACGGTAGATAAATATTGCAATATTCTTTTTTAAATTATTTCAGCACACAAACAAGTTACACCTTATAGCAAAATTAGCTTGGCACCTACACTTTTAAGTAGTAATACCTATTATTTATTTAAAGATTATGATAATTACGTTACCTACTAAGATTAAAATGAAACTCATTAAATCTTCGAACAATGAAAAAGCTTAAACCCCTTTTTTCTATTAAAGTTCTAAGTTTCACCAAGACACTTTATTATCTCAATCTAGTCTTTAATCTCTTAACTAATTTAATTACTTCGTTACTTTTAATTTAGTTTTATGGTTAAAGCTTAAAAAACCGGAATAAATACATTTTCCTGTTAAACTGAACAGTTCAATTTAAACCCTTTGATCTCCAATAACAATAAAAATATTATTAGTTCAATAGTATTATATTGAAGGCTAGAATTTTTAAACCGATGTTGGATAAGTACTTCTGTTTTTCCTCGAAACAATAACAGGGGCAAGAGTGATCTTGTAAGTAAGTACTTTTAACGGATTACTCCCATGATTATTTAAAAATATCTACTATTTACGTAATAATAAAAGTGGTACTGTATACTACCATCCTGTTTATATTCTCAGGCTAAAAAAATCTCGAAAATGTTTTATAATTTTTACCCAATATAGAGATAGAACTTTAGCCTTATACTTCACGATTACTACACAAAGACACAGTCAAATTGAAATACATATCCAAAAACCCAATAATAGCACGAACATTACGAAGATTGTTACGAAGATAGGGAAGAAATTGACAGTTCATTACAGGGGACATTGATACACCCTGTTTAATTTAGAACGGCGGATGGATGGCCCCAGATAAGACTGGCGTTCTCGCAAAATGAAATAAATTACAAAAAAATAAACTCATTTTTGTTACTGCGGGCTTTCACCTCTTTGCTGGCGCAGAAGGAATATTAATTGACTTCCTTCATACTAATTCATCATTATTATGCCGATCAATTTCACGGGGGGGGGGTCAAGATGATTAAATCAATTCCGTTCGGATTCTTCCACCCTTTTCTTGGGTAATATCAAAAATTCATTCCATTTATTTTATGCGAACAATATTATAAACCATGGGTTCAGTGTACGTTATGTACTTAAAGTTTTGGTCATGATTGAAATTATTTTGGCAGATTTTGTGGATAATTTTTCTTGAACATTTCCTAGTAGTAATTTAACGTAAGACTATTTAAATTATTTGGACTTGAATACCTGTTATAACTGATTTTGCGAAAAGTATCGTACACGTGCGTTTCTCGAAACACACAATTACTACAGCGTTAGAAACATATCCTGTTCTGATCCAAAATATGTTAATCTATTCACAAATGGGTATGGGTAAACTAGGTTGACACGTGAACGTTTGTGATGCGTTGTAACGAGATGGTTCTTGGTAATCCGTTTAAGCTGTCGAGTGTACCTGCAGTCTAGCTATAAGCTTAGTCAGATCAGCTTAGTCAAGCCAAGACTTTCACCTCCGCTACACGTGTCTGAATGTTATTATGTAGGGCAATTGGTGACCTATAAAAAACACCAACTTGCTATTCTTAAAAGAGTAGACAGAAGTACCTTATAGTACAAATTTAATTGCTACTTATTTAATTGTGTCAATAAACGTGGCCATAAAACAAAATTCAAATAAGAGGCTTTGCATTAGATACGGATGTACCTAATAAGTCGTAAATAATGTAAATTATTTATCCAGTATTTATTAATGAACCTTCTTCGTTTTTCTAATGGTGACAGAGTCTTTTCAGAAGCTTTCATAATTTTTTATAGATCTTTAATATACCGCATACAGCTACATGTGACTATTTTGATTGCAATCCCGGAAGACAGCCATATAAGCCCCTATAGTGTGAATGTGTATTAGTTCAGATTCCTATCTATCTCGTCATTTGACACCACTTAAATCATTTTTAGTAGATTTAGAAGGTGACAATGAACTAAAACAAGGCTATGAGAATTAATTGAATGCGGGCACTGAAGGGCTGGTCATAAAAGCCTTGGTCTAGGATTATTGAAACTACTCGACGACTGGCTCGGGAGGAAGCACGGCTCCCTGTCGTTTAGGGTGACGCAGGTGCTGTCGGGGCACGGCTGCTTCGGCAAGTACCTGTGCCGCATAGAGAGGGAGCCGGACGCCCGGTGCCACCACTGCATCCATTGCGGGGAGGACACGGTGCAACACACGCTCGCCGAGTGTGTAGCTTGGGAGGAGCAGCGCCGTGTCCTCAGAAATGAAGTAGGAAGCGATCTGTCGTTGCCGGCCGTAGTGCGGAAGATGGTGGACAGCGCAGAGTCGTGGGACGCGGTGGTGTCTTTCTGCGAGGATGTGATGTCGCAGAAGGAAACTGCGGAACGGGAGAGGGAGATCTTACTGACTTCCTTTCCCAACCGCAGAAGGCGCACCGGGCGTAGGAGAAGGGCCGACAACGCCCTCTTCCGGCCCCCATGAATGGGTCCAGGGGCGAAGGACTTGGGGAAGTCCCCGCCCCCGAATCGATAGACCCGAGTCGAAGGCGCGCGCGGGTGTCGGCGTGCGCCTTTGAGGCGATGCACGTGGTGCACTGCTCCGTGCAGGTGACGGGGCCCTGATTTACGGGCCGGCACTGTAATGCGGGGCTGCGGATGAATTTGGACTCCCGCGGCCCCGCACGCACGTGCGAGGAGACACTGGGGTGGTTTTAGGATTATTGAAACTGTGTTAAACCTTGGTTTAAGATTCATTTTCAAATATAATGTGATTTCGTATTTATTATATTATTTAGCTACTCTTGTATTAACAAGACGAAAAACAATTATACTATAGGTGTAACTGCAGTTACTTATATTATATTAGGTGCAAATGTAGGTACATACGTGATACAAATATACACTAAGAAAGAATGTTTTGCGTCGCTTTTACAATTTATAAAAATTGATGATTAAAATAATATGAAATATAAAATGTAGCTAACAAAAACTATCTTTCCATAATTAAGGTTGACTACAAGCTGACTTGAAAAAGTAATGAAAAAACTTGGGCCCTAAAATGTACATAGGTAATTGAGAGTTTTCTAACAAATCTATCTGTTAAGAAACATTGTCGTTTCTAAAAATAATTAATTTTAACTTAAGGTCTAGTTATATGGGGTGCCTCAGCGCAGTTTATTAAGTGCTATTTGAGACGGAACTCGCGTTTCGCTATTTATTACGTCGTCGCTTGCATGGTATCTACTTATTTCCTACAAGGACTACTCCGTGTGAAACATACATTTTCTCCGTCGTTAATATTGCCAATAAGTTGTTAAGATTTAATTTACTATTTTATTATACATTCAAAGCAATTGTGTAAATGCTATTTATTGCTATGAGGTTTACGAAAGTTGATATTGTATTTTGTGGCAAAGGCCGGCAAACGAGCCGACCGCGACGCATAAAGTTAAAAGTAAGCAATTAGAACCATCCACGAATCAAGGTGATGGATAGGATGACGGAGTACGAAAATTAAAAATCTATAGGTACATACATTTAGTAGTCCTTAGTTATGTAACGAATAAATATTAGACACATTTTTTATTTTGTGGTATATGAACACTATACTTAGATAAGATTAGACAGATTTCGAATAAATAATAATTATACCTACCGTCGAAAGTAATTTGGTTTGGCAAGAAAACAAAAAAAATCCTGTCTAATGTTTTCCAGGCGAACTTGGAATTGGAATTGAAGTCAAGTGCATTGCCGGCCTTTTAGGGATTAAAGATTGCAGATTTAGGAGATGGGGTAGAAAGGATTGAATCTCCTGTAACCTCATTCACACAGCGAAACACAGTACATAGCTAGCATTTTTTTTTTTGTTACGGCAAAGGTCACGATAATATGAACATTGAGATGATAATATTTTCCCTGCATATACAATACGATAATCGCATTTGGATTACATATGGATAATTGGATATACGACTTTGGATTCACAAGTGATTTTGATCGATGAGCATTGAATGCGTTTATTTTCTGAATTGAGTTATAGTTGATCGATTTAAAGTAATCAAGTGTCATTGAACTTCTTATAAGTTATTTTTATTTTAAAATATCGTAATTCCAGCGTACATTATGTGTGAGTACTAACCACACAGAACATAATGTAGGTGGCTAAGTATAAAATCTAAAACATTTCCTTTGTACCCTGTAGCTACGTACGGTTAACTTTCTAAAGGCACTTATGGGACCGACCTTTAAACATAATCCGACATTGTTTTGATATTTATGTTTCTCACGATAACTCAAAACTTTGCTCAAATACACGCGTATTGTATACAGTCTTAGCTGCCTTCTAACATATTCGCGACATATGAATAAATTAGTGCAAGTCTAGGTACTTGAACTACTGTCGAATCTTTGCAAAGGCTTGAAAGTCGAAACGTCACTTGTTTCATTGTGATAATGTAATCTCATTTGCGAAGCGAATGCGTATGAATGTTGGCATGAAGTTCTTTTTAAGAATCTATCTTAGGAAGTACACGATAAGGTTGGAATTGACAAATGGATTTGAGAAAATCTTAATACACGTTCTCACGTAGCAGACACGGGGAATGGAACCAGTAATGTTGCAAGGATTTAAATGTTTTGTACAGTTGCAAACTGGAGTGACGATAAAACGGTTTCAGTAATGGATATGAAAGAGTTCTAGAAAAAGATTGCTTAGAGAACGGATCAATTCCAAGAACGAGCTCTCAATTTATAAGTTTGCATTAGAGAAAGAAAAGCAATTTAAAACTACTCCTCTTGGGTTTTAGAATCAAATTCAATTGAATGTCATATTTTCAAGGTGCCTTTTGATGTCTTATACAATTGACATAAGGTCTGGTAGTGGACTTTACTGATCAAAGACTATTAATTTGTTTTCCAGACTTCTAGTGCTAGTCAGCGCAAAGTTTCGAACACTTTTTTGGCTATTTTTGAGACGTAAGAAGTGTGTTACTATCGTCGATTTATTTCTGAACCTCAATTAATCCATGTTATCTCTTTTTTGGAGTGAAATCAACATTCGAAAATTGTAATATAATAATTCGGTACTTGGCAACTAATCAAATACAATACTTTTTTGGAACTGTCAAAAACGATTGTGTACTAACGATTGTGTTATAATAATTTATTTTTGATTAAAGTAAGTATCCAATTTTAAGTTTAGTTTAGGATTACCGACTAGTTAAGAATACAATATTGTAGTTATTTAATGTTATAATTTTTAATAAAATATATACCTACAAAATATATATCGTTAAATAAGATATTTAATTTTCTAGTTGACTTTTATGTAATGAAAGTAAAACAGGCGTATTATTACGGCTGTAACCTTTATCTTGATTATTATTTATTTTGTATTTGTTAACGTTTTAAAAGTACCAAATTATGGTTTAATCGAAATAAATGCTTTGACTTTTTTACTTTTTTACATTTTTGATTATTTTTTTAATTATACGTACCTACTCCTTTACTTATTACTTGGCAACACTTACCTACTAAGGAAAATAGAGCAAATCGTCCCATATCACGTGAACCCTCTTAGGAGCTGTTTAGCCTTTGAACTTGTGAAGTACAAAAGTTAATTAAAACATAAAATATTCACAGGACACTAGTTAATCGGAATATTTAATTATCGTCTCATGTGGACAGGCACGTAGCTTAGACTATGTTAGCCTTTAAAAGGTCAAACCATCTTTACGTTGTTAGCAACGCTAGGGTTCGCGTAGTAATCCAATCTCGAGTTATTCACTGAATCTCAATTTGTCAGAAACTTTATTCTCAATGTTTATTGGCTAGGCTTTTAAAAATTAGATAAAAGTAACATATATGTATATATAATATTATGTGACTTACTAAAAGAGTAGGTACCTACTCAATTGACCAGTCGACTGGAGCTTAAGCTACATATTTGAAGATTGGTTTTATATTTGGTGGAAGGTCATAAATTCTCAAAGAGTATGTACCTACCTACAGTTGATCGTCTTACATGTAACATGTGTCTACACTAGCTTAGTTTTATGGGTATCTTAGTACATAAAGCAGTGCCCATGTAAAAACCAAAGGCAAATCAGGCCAAAGGTGATTAAAACTAAACCAACCTAAAGGCCTTTCGCCTTTCTGGTGCCCACCAGAAAGTTTGTTTATCAGAATAACATTATCATTCATTTATTCCAGGAGTTCCCAACCTTTTCTTGGTCAAGGACCACTTTTCAACATTCTTCTTAGGTTAAGAACCGCTATTACTGTTACTTTTTTCATGTGATCCAGAAAAAGATTATCTCCAGAGTCGTAAGGCATCTCATAAAAAGAGTGACTTTTCGATTATATTGAAATCACAAGACATAATCTCTGTCGTCGTTTTAATTTCGCGGACAATATTTTTGCGTTTTCTGCGGACCACCAGTGGTCCACGGACCACCGGTTGGGAACCACTGATTTATTCCAACACACCACACACTGTAGATATTGATAGCTGTCCAAACAATATTAAACTTGTTGTTTAGGTAGTTTAATATACATACATATTTGTATCATAAGCCGTCAACAGTTTGTTTATGGGGCCTGTCGCTCGTCCATTTCTCCACGTCATAATGTGAATGGGTTCAAGGTCACGATCCTTAGAAGTCGTCGTTAGGGTCGGTCTGTAATGTGATTAGAGTTTATATTGTTTAAGGGCTCATAAAGAGCCGCAGTTAACACTTAATAGTTAATACAATAAGTAGACGCATACGCCCATCTAAGTGAATAGTCGTCATTACGTCCATGTTTTGTGTTTACGGACCTAAAGATAATAAAAGATTACGTAAGACTTATCTATAGTCTATGGGTACTCTACTGTCTGGCCGCCTGACCACAATAAATTAAAAGTAAGACATAAAAAATGATGGATGGCGTTTGGAAAACGGACACAATGAGTGAATATTCAAATAGGGTTGGTTTGGTAGTGATTTAATTAAAAACAGAAATACAACTGTTCGCACTTTCATTTTGACTTATTTTAAGTTGGGGGATGAGTTATTTAAGTGATGTTTGACTTTTATATTGTTTTATGTTTTGTTATGTGTAATTAATGATCTACGTAATTGATTGAAATAAATGGTATTAAAAAAATTACTTTTGATGTTATTTTTTTCTTAGCATGACCAATGTTGAATTTCGTCATAATTGTCTCGTACATTATTAATCATATTATTAACTGTATCATTAGCTATATTTATTATTATATTATTAGCTGTATATTATAATATCTTTATTAAATTATTGTTCATCGATTACCAGCGCGGCTACTTAACTTAGGTATTGCAATTTTATCATGGCTTATAGTTCAAGAAAAGTAATTATCGGTTATGATTAAAATTTTATCAGCTGTTAGCACAACATGCAAGATATAAAATGTACTGTATGTACCTATAATACCTGCACATGACTGTAGTTTCAACTGCAAACTTCTAACGGCCCAGAGGCTCCGTGCTTCCAGTGAATATTTAAAAATTTTCGTCCAAATAAAATCATTCCCCTTTGTGAACTTATAGATAAAATGAATACACGTAAAAAATGCAGATATTAAATAAATCTATTTTATAACGACTTACCTAAGTTTAAACCGCCAGAATGAATGTAATGTTTTATTTGTCGTGATGAGCTACTGATGGTTTACAAAGTTCATGCAAATTAAGCGGCGCTCAGTAGTCCATAATGCTCGCTCATTCTACATGTTCAAAGAATGGCTTCATGCATGCAATTATTATGCATGTTGCATAATAACTGTGCAATTGTTGCAACAATTGCTACCATTAAATAAATGCGTAGTAATATTATACTAGGACTGTCACCATTCCTTTTATACTTTCGTAAAATGTTCGTCATTTGCATAATAATAACTCGTTTGTTTTTACTCTGAGGAGCAGGATGAAATGTATTTGTTTACTTTATCTTCTTACACCACTTAAATCATTATGCTTATAACAGACAAAGTGCACCATAATTATTATGGACCCACTCTTCACTGGCCCTTGCAAATATAAAGGCAAGCTTATCATCGTGTTTATTTTTATGGCATAAGCCGGTAAACGAGCAGACGGATTACATGATTGTAAGCAATCGGCATCGCTCATGGACGCCTGCAACACCATAGGCGTTACAAATGCGTTACCGGCCTTTTGGGGATTAGGAATTTGAGGACTGTTGGAGATTCAGGGGTTGGGGTGATTGGGTAGGTTCGGAGGGTAATTGGGCCTCTGGTAACCTCACTCATACAACGAAACACAACGCAAGAGTTGTGTCACGTCGGTTTTATGTATGTTAAAAAACAAAGTCGAATACAAAACTTAATCTCATTAAAAAAATAAGTCCATTGTTTAAAAAAATCGTACCCGTCTTTCATTGTATGTTTGTTTGTAGGATAAATTAGTCACAAACCGATTTATCTAGATTATACCGTTTTAAAATCAGCAGACATGTTAATATTGATAATTTTATCACATAAAGAAACACAATGCAGATTGCGCTTTGTGTGATGACATGAATTTCAGATTAATTTTTAAGCCGGTAATTCGATAATCCTATACAATGTGCTTAAAATTGTCAAGAGGTTACTTATTATTACTATAAAAGTATTTTAATATGGAAATTCGTAGAACAACCCTCATTCGAAACCCCATTGATGAGAATAGGACCGCTCCTTATTATTAGGGACTTGCAATAAACTGGCGTGCCACGGATATACTTATGTGTTCAGAGGGTTGGAATTTTATGTATTTTCATTTCAGTTACGTATCTGTCCTTACGCCTGACACGTTATTGAATTTTTAATAGTTTCATTTCAACTATCGTAAAGTTGTTTAATGGTATATATACATTGATAATTATATGGTTGAATTGACCCATTGGGCTCTAATACTCGAATTAACTATTTTTCAAAGTCAAAATCATTTATTTAAATTAGACCAGAAAGGCACCTTTGAACGTCACCAAAAAATTTTTAAAAGAATAAGAATAATAAGAATAAAGTGAAGATGTTTGCTCATTCCTATGTGTAGATTCCTATGGAGAAGAACGAGATAATGAAATATAATTGTATCAAGTTTAATCGCAATCGGGCCGGTAGTTTTTGCGTGATGCGTGAACATACAGACAGACAGGCAGACAAGAATGTTTTTAACACGTTAAACGCCATAGGGGTCACCGGTATGCCGGATTACCGCCGTGGGATCTGGAGGCGAAGGTGCTCGCGCGCGTGTTTTGTTTGCGCGCGGAGGCACGTCGCCGGGGCGAAACTCCGCTGCCGCGCCAGATTAATGCGTGGCGGGATGAGCTCCGGCGTGATCTCATGGCGGAGTGGCTCGCTGTCATTGCAGCGGTAAGTCCCCTCTTTGAGGAGTGGCTTGAGAGACGCTACGGCGTCCTCACCTACCGCCTGACGCAGGTGCTTACCGGATACGGGAGTTTCGGTAGGTTCCTGTTTCGGATTGGGCGGGAGGAAACGCCCGGGTGTCATCACTGCGAGGATCGCCCGGAGGACACGGTGGAGCATACGGTGGCGGTGTGTACTGCGTGGACTGAGCACCGCCGTGTCCTCAGGAATGTGATCGGCGACGGCGACCTCTCGCGTCCGGCTCTGGTTCAGACCATGTTACGGAGCAAGGGGGACTGGGATGCCGTCTCCTCCTTCTGCGAAGCAGTCATGCTAGCTAAGGAGGAGGCGGAGCGCGTGAGGGAACGAACCTCCTCATGACCCGGCCGTCGCGAGAGACACTCCGGGCGTCGGGGATCGCGAGACGATCTCCGGCTACCGTAAGCACGGGCCTGCGGACGGCGAGCACGGGTGGCTCGCCGCCCGACCAGAACCAGACCCGAGCGTACGGCGCGTCGCGTTCCGCGCGCGCCTCAAGGAGCCATCAGACCACCACAGATGGGGCCTAACAGGGCTGATGCCGATACGGAGCCGCGGAAGACTTAACGGGTTGCCGGGGCTCCGGCTCGAAGTGCAGGAGTAGGAACGGGGTGGTTTTTAGTCAGTAAGAGTCTGACACTCCCTCCCGCCTCACCCGGGCGGGAGAAGTCAATGGATGATTTTCCCCACTCAAAAAAAAAAAAAAAGTGGTCACCGGTAACCGACGTTAGCGGAGGATTTACCTTCAACAGTTTTTTTATTGGCAGTCAAAGTCTTAATAACAATTTTGGCTTTGCTGTCTACCTATCTAATAACATCCTCTACTATTTATTTTTTTAATATTTTTAATGTATGTATATGTATTACATATATAGATAGGTAGATTAATTATCATTTGAATTAACTATTAATAGATTACTCCACTCACTATTGTATCGATTCATAATTAACTATTAATTAACTATTACTATATTAACATTTTTTATTCTAGAATACTCGTACCTACTACAAACTGCACGAGTTTAATCAATGATGTATTGTGTTATTCAATGTACAAATCTGTGTCAATTTTGCATTGGTTCCTTCGGCCCTAGCTACTGCACGTGGCCGACGGATGCAATCAATTCAGCTAACTGGTTAATTGTGTGTCAGTAATCAAATGAAAAACGATGTAAAACAACATGTCATAATCTGAGATTACGTATTGATTTAGTTATATGGATAGCAAAATAAAATATTATTTTAACTTTCGAAAAGACTTAAACACATTTAGGGAAAATCATCGAATGACTTCACCCGTCCGGGTCAGACGAGAGAGTGCCAGGCTCCACTCAGCGTATTAAATGTTATTAAAAGGGTAATTAACTCAATTCGCTGGGTCTTTTTTATTTTTAATGGGGGAAAATCATCGAATGACTGCTGGGAGTGTCAGACTCTTACTGACTAAAAACCACCCCGTTCCTTCTCAACCGCTTCGAGCCGGACCCCCGGTAACCCGGTAAAACTTTACTCTAATTAATATTTAACATATGGCTATTCTACTGCTAAGATAATAGTTGAACCGTTACATCTAAAATGTGTATGGAAATATAATTGGAATGTGAAACATTGCAGTTTCCTACTATTGTTATCAAATAAAACTGTTTTAGTTTAAAACCGTTATAAAGTATTTACTTATGTATTATGACTGCACGGTTGGTGCGGTGGCTGGGCAACCGGCTGCCGTGCAACGTGTCGCGGGTTCGATTCCCGCACGGAACAACACTTTGTGTGATCCACAAATTGTTGTTTCCGGTCTGGGTGTCATTGTGTATGTGAACTTGTATGTTTGTAAACGCACCCACGACACAGGAGAAAATCCTAATGTGGGGCAACGTTTTTTAAAATAATAAAATAATAAATAATTACATAATTATAGACTGTTGTTATTGAATGTTTCATTTAATCATTTGGTTGTTAATACAAGATTAAAGTCAATTTATGGAGGCTCTTTTTCATTCAATTATATTAAATTACTAGTTTATTGTAGCAATTATGTGTAGGTATTATGTGCAATAATAAATAATTATAATCAGGTATATTGTCTAAATAGTGAAAAGTGGGTGTTACATTGTACAGTGGCATAATGTGCACCTCTGCCTATCCCTTCGGGGCTAAAAGGTGTTATGTTATGTTTTGTTATGTATATTGTCTGTGAGAGAACTATGTATAAACACACATTAGATTAAGTAACTATTATATTTCTTTATTGTTATGTCTGGGCAACACAATGTGGTGAATTACCATAATTATACCTACCATTTATTATAACATACCTACATTGACAAAATAAATAAAATTTGTATTAGGTAACTGGTAAAGTAAGTAGGTACATATATTAAATTGAGGTAATTGTAAAACAGTGTAACTTTTTAAAGAAACGTTGGCTCACATTATGATTTTCTCCTGTGTAGTAAAAACATACAATTTCACATACATTTTAAACTTCGATTAAAAGAACTTAGGTAGGCACTAGAACACTACTTTCTTAGGTAAATATAAAAAAAAACATACGGCAAATAAACAAATGGTCCCCTATCACATAATAACTGAACTACTCCAGTAAACGTGAAACCAAAGCAAGTCATTCCTTTGTAGTTGTTTCGCCCTCTCGTTTCAAGTGAATAAAAATGAACATCAAATTGTTACCAACAATTATAGCAGTTGTTCTCAACTTAAAAGGTATTTATTTTTAAACTTTTATTTCATACTAGCTTCTGTCCGAGACTTCGTACGCGCAATCCCGTTTTCAAAAGATTTTCAGGATTTTTTTTCAATCCTAAAAACCTTCTCCTGACAATAACAAGCACAACAAAAAAAATCAGCCAAATCGGTCCAGCGATTCTCAAGTTATGGCGTGACAACGGGAAACGGGTTTCATCTATACTAATATTATAAAGAGGAAAGATTTGTATTTTTGTAGGTATGTTTGTAATGAATAAACTCAAAAACTACTGGACCGATTGCAATAATTTTTTCACCATTAGAAAGCTGCATTATTCAGAAGTAACATAGGCTATATAATATCATGCTAGGTCCTATAGTTGTGGAGCAGTAACCAAAAATGTTTTAAAAACGGGGGAAAAGTATCGTTTCTGTGGCCTTCCGTGGCGTGCGGTGAGCATATAGTTAAAGTTATACAAAAATGCTCTATAGATGAATTGTTCATCTTAACATTATTTTTAAAAAAGTCCGCGAGAGCATATGTCTACCTTTTATAGTTTACCCATAACAATCGTTTTAATGAATGGTTCAAATGTAAAAAACAATTTAAAAACAAACTTTTACCTCAACCAAAACAAACAACATCAAAATAGGTAGGTTCCTATTTAAGAAGAAAATAATTAATTAAATAAATGAAATAAGTAAATGAAGTCCGGAAAAATAAATAGAAATATAAATAAAACGTAAAACTATGTAAAAAATCTTAAGTCCCCCCGTGCAAAGCCGGGACGGGCTGCTAGTTTTTATATATATAGATATCTTTTATTTCATTTTAAAAATTAACGCCCGAATTTTAAAGTTACTCAATTATAAGTGGTACTTAAATATCGTGCTATCTCTAATTTTACAAAAAATATATAAAGTCAGAACTATTCTTCGTTTTGTTAGCTTTCGTCAGCATACAAAATTATAAAATAGTTGGAAACAATGATTTGGATTTATTATTATTACTTAAAGTCATTAGAATGATTAATTATTATATCACATAGGTATATAAATTTGAATGTCACAATTTTAAACAAACAGAATGTCAGTAGTCAAATAAAAACATGATAGTAGTAGTTCTTGACAGTATGTATTTGTGAGATACTAAAAAGCATTTTTTTGTAATGTAGACAATCAATTCATTCTAATGTAGACAATTTAGTTTCCTTATGGCATCAAGCATTTTTTTTTCTTTATTGAAACAACGAGTTTCCTTTTTCTTGTATAGAAGCATGCAAGCATTTTCATGGATTGTCAGTATGCATATGTGAGCATCATGTTAGACTATAAGATATTTTTATTTTTTATTTTAGTAAGTTTTGTAATTAGTATAATGCGTCAAGTGTGCCTTTGCATTGTTCTCACAAATTCGTTCAGTATTGGAATATGTATCAGAGATATTGTTGAACTTTTTTTTAAAAGAGTAACGAATAGAGTTTCTTGCTCGTTCTTCTCCATTCGAAACTACCCTTTGGAACAAGCACCTAGCTTCACTAACAATACAATTTGACGTTCCAAAAGGCCTAATCGAGGATTGATTTAAAATTAATACTTTGAATTCGACTTTGAGCGTCTTAAAATTGAGTGCCGTTTCACAATTTAAGCATGAGTTGGGTTAAAATTTGTAAATAATAGGTAGGTTACATAATAGGCTGTTTGTGCAACAAATATAAATTATAGTGAAAAGTGGTTGTAACATTGTACAGTGGCATTAAGTGCCGTAATGTGCACCTCTGCGTAAACCTTCGGGGATAAAAGAGATGTTATGTATGAATACAAATTATTATTAATCTTTATTTTTATTAAAAACTATACATAAAAAATAAAATGCTTTGCTATTAAAAAGTCGTGCTTAAACAAACTGCGTCATTTTCACGTTAATTAAAATTATATCAACAAATACGAATTCATTTATATGAGTTACCAATTAGTAGCACGTAAATTCGTATTACTTTACAATAAAATTACATTGATATCAATGATGAATATAATTTCAGTGATTGATTTCAATAAGTAAGTATTACCTACACTTTAAACGCCTCAATGAAACTAATTAAAAATCTTTACTTGATTAATTCATCATTTTAATAATCATCAATCATTATCAAAAGCTCCTCGAACTCAAGCTTCTCACACAGAGAAGGTTTGAGCATTAATCACCACGCTTACTCAATGCGGGTTGGCGATTTCAGACTTATAATTAGAAATTATAAGTCCAGGTTTCCTCAGGATGTTTTCGTTCACCGTTTGTCAGTGGAGTTTAAATAATCTTAGAAATTACATATAACTCGGAAAAAGTCACATTGGTACTTGCCATTGGTAGGTGTCGAACCCACGCCCTGATGCATGAGAAGCAGGCATCTTAAGCTTCCGGGCCGCCACGACTTAACATTTTGATAATAATATTGCTTCGTAATCGTACAGGTCCAAAAATAACAAAATGGTATATTTAAATAGAAATTATACTTTCACTCAGTATTTTATTTATGTTACAAGAAAAAAATAACTATATTTTTAGTTTCTATTATAAAAACCAATGTATATTTTTATAACAAACTTCAGAATATCCTTACTGAACATTGTACGGTATGACACGTTTGGTTATCTATATTTTAACAAACAAAAAACAGCTAGGCGCGCTCTCGATAGTTTTTGACACGCCTTCCGCTTCATTCATGCGTGATGACATACCCTCCAAACATTGATATACGACTTTTATATTTCATACACTTTTTTCCAAAAAAAAAAAAAA